GGGGGGGGGGGGGGGGGGATGCTAACCCTTACCCTAGCACAACTTCCCCGATTGCATGCTTCATCCAACATGTTTACTTAAAATAGAAAATTCCTGCGAAGGGTACTGATGCGAGTACAATCGATATAGACGAGAGGAACAAGTGTAAAAACAAACTATAACACAAGCGCATAGCACCACAAGCGAAAAATCGACCGATCAAGACAAAAGAAAGCAAGATTAGGGTGAAAACAAACACAACAGGGGGAGGAGGGCCAGGGAGCCAATGGCAGATCACAAAAAAATCAGGGACAAAGACAAGCGGAGGGGGCGCAAGAACCACAGACGGTCTTAAATGGCGGAAGTGATGGTTGAGGGTGGCAAAGGGTTGGCTGTTGCCAGATTTGGATTTGTTTCATCGGTAAACGTGTTTGGTTCAAAAAGAGGCAAGAACGACCACCTGCCTTCAGGGGCACCCGTTATGCTGTGCCATGCACGAGAGACACGACCACCTCAACAAATCGTCCGCAATTTGGAAGATCGCAACTTGACCTACATCTGTGCAACATCAAATATTTCCATTAATGTTCACCGCTTCGATTCTGTTCGACAAAGGAATTGTGTGCCTGATCTCACTGCTGCATGTTGCTCAGAGATCAGTCTCAACAAAGGCAGTCATGTAACGCTACGAATAATTGCGAAATATTTGCCCTTCATCATGGACTTGCATCTGACAATATACCTGGCAGAGATGATTGGTGTATTGTATGATCTGTTTCGTAATCTGTCCTCCAAAACCGCAAAAAACACACAAAAAAAAAACACACGCAACATGTCAAATCTTTTACAACAGTAAACAAATACTCACAGCAGCACTCTCTCCTCCCTTCTCCCCGCTTGCTGCGGCAGTCGCAGCATCCCCCTCCCCGCCCGCCGGCTTGGCCTCCTCCTTTGCAGGGGCAGCTGCCGGGGGCTCCGCAGGCTTCGGCGCGGGCTTGGGGGTGTTCATGATAGAGCGACAGGTGGCGTGCACCGCAACGACTTGCTTGTTGATCTCGTCGCACGTGACGATCTGTTGTGTGGGGGGGGAGAGGGCGGGGGGTTGTCATTTATAGGCAATTGTCGGTAATTGTTGAAACTACATGGCGAAAAACACGGACGCATGTTAAAGACAAACTTACAGTTGAACACCCCTGGAACGTAGAAACATGGGGCCAAAAAAACATTTCCTTGGTACAGAGTACCTTTACGGTTTCACGCCAGCCATGGCAGCAATACGTCCCCCTAAACGACGGAAATTCGTTTGCACCGCAAAAGTGTAGTACTCTACATCCACTGACAAGTGTTGTAACCCTGCCACCACGAGAATTAGGGGGAATGTGAATTAGGACGAAAACAAGAACAACCGCAGTATGGGGATGGAATGAGGGAACGAAGAAAGGAAGGGCACCTGGAAGCGATAAGCATGGTTCCCTGATTCGAAGCCAACACGACCAACAACGAACAAACGTGATATCAACGACCAACAACAACAACGACGACGACAGCAACAACAACAACAACAACAACAAGGATCACAAGACCCGCCCACATCGTTTCACGTACCGGGTCCTTAGACGGAGGGACATTTGCTTGCTGGTCGAGCTTCTGGAACAACCACTTCTCCGCCGTCTTGGCACAGTCTCGTACCTTAGCCTTCTCCTGGACTCCCGACGGATGACAGAGAGAGAGAATGGGGGGGGGGGGGG